ACCAAATGTGGACATAATGCAGACCGAAACTTCGCAGACAAATGAAGCTCAACAGCTTCATAGAGCGGCATCAACTCAGGTCTACAATCCTGCCTTAGATGAAGTCCTGAACCAACTTGATGAAGAGGACGAGCTGGCATCGCACGGAGATACGGACGACATGGACAACGAGGAAGACCAAGAGGAAGATGTCGTGGACACGGAAGATGTCGTGGAGCACAGAAGAAGAACCGAACGCACACCGAAAACGCAAGAAGAAGTTGAATCAAAACCTAGTCTACCACAGCGCTGACGAAGACGAAGTTGTTGCAGGAAGTTTTCTAGAGGGCTGTCCCACATTTTTGGAGTTCTGGGACCTCTTCGACAAAGTATTTGCCGACTTTCAGGAGCAAACATATCAGTTGTTCTCACTTCGTACAAGTGCGTCGATGAAGGCACGAAACCGCAAAATTGCGTCCGAGCAAGCCAAGGCAAAGAAGAATGCTCTATCGTGGAAGGCAGGGAGGAATTCGGACAAGCACTCGCACTGGTGGAACACTTCTTCCTGAGGCTTGGGATACGTACTGCCGAACTTTCTTGTGCACGCACGGGATGCCGTTCGTGAGTAAAGGCACTGGACGAAGGAGTCATTCGAAGGTTCGGTCCACGGGATGTTCTGCTCGCGTGAATGCTCGCGTGTGTTTGAGACCGAGTGGAAATGGGTTTCACTTCGTGGTGTCCGCGTCTGGAGCTCATGATCACGCTTTGACAGAGCATCGATGGTATAGTTACGCTGAGAATCGTCGCATTGAGGACCCCCAATTGCGTGAAGATGTAGCAGTCCTGTCCAAGGCTGGAGCTAAGCCCCGCGGAATTTTATCTTATCTTCGGGCGAAAAAATGTACGCCCCAATTGCGTTCGGTTTGAATTCGGTGAAATTTATGTGGTGATCACATGGATTATTGTATGCATGAGGGAAACTTATGCTGTTGACAGATGTCCACAACTTGATTCACGTAGTGAAAAAGACCTTTCGTGGTGGCAGAACAGATGCTGAAAGAGCTATTGCTGAACTAGATGAGTTCATCGAGAGTGCTACTGGAAACACGGCTGAGTGCATCGTCGACAGTGAGACCAACGTCATCCGTGTGGTGACTTTCCAGTCAGCGCGTCAGAAACGATTGTTTGCTGCTTTCCCTGAGGTCGTGCTGGTGGATTCAACCCACGGGACTAACGTAAATCGGTATAAGCTGTGTACCTTTACGGTACACGATGTCTTTGGTCTGGTAAGCTACTATGAATGATGAGTATACCGAAAATATACTGAAAAACTTTTTTGTCTTCTGTTTGATGTTCTGTAGGGCCAGTACGTCCAGCACGCACTGGTGCAGACGGAGGAGAAAGCAAACCTTGCTCTTTCGGTGGGTGCATTCAAGAGGAACAACCCGCAGTGGTCGAAGATTGAAGTCGAAATGACAGATAAAGCGATGCATGAGAAGGAAGTGCTCCATGACGCCTGGCCAAATGCGAGACAGTTGCTCTGCCGGTGGCATGTCGAAACTTGGTTGAAGAAGCAGTGCTCTCGTTTGGGTGGAGTGGGAAGGGCGGAAACGATGAAGCTGAAAGTGATAATGAAAGAGCTTGTGAACGCTGAATCTCAGGAGGAGTACGGCGACTTGAAGGGTTCGTTGCTGGAGACACTCGGAAACGACAAGGAAAACCGCTTGTACATGAGCTTCATGCAGCACTGGGATACGACGGATGAGTGGGTGATGTTCAAGCGTGGCGACGTACCTCATCTGATGAACAATACTAACAACCGTCTCGAGTCGAAGTGGGGACGTATTAAGGAAGTGATGGACACCCACATGACGATTGACGAGCTGATTTCTATGCTTATTACGCTACAGGGGTACGCTGAAGAGCGATATCTGTCTGAATGGCATCGTGTGGGGAGTCGGGTGCAAATAAATGAAGACCGGGAGCTGAAATCAATTAGACAACTCAGTACCTACGCATTCCGAATCGTGTCGGACCAGTACAAATTGGCGGTGGGCCCCCAGGCTAACTACAGCACAGATATGGACTGCGAGAAGACGAGGTTGACGAATCCAGCCACAGCGAAAGCACACGAGGTTGACCCACGGGTAAGGTTCTGTCGATAATTGGTTTTCTGTGTGTTTTGGTGTGCGCTTTTAACTAGGGTGTGTTGATCCAGCTTGCCACATGCGACTGTATCTTTAGTCAGACATGTCTTCTACCATGCCGACACGTTATGTACGTCCGCAGCAAGGCCAATTTCGAGACTGTTATACCGCCGCTGCATACTTTATCGTCCTGATGGATCGTACAAAGTCCGTCAAACACCATTAATGATGGTGCTGTTGTTCCCGGTGGTCTCAACCGTGTCAGTTGCCCGCCAATTCGTGTTCTCCCGCCTGTCGATAGGGATACCAAGTATTGCCGCAGCAAGTAGATTACCGACAAGATCAACGATATTATGTCGATTCAACCTTCAACGACATACCGCTTGGCAATGTCCTGGCTGGAGGGCTTCCACACAGCGCTGCACACTCGTAAACTAGAGGGATTTCAAGGGCGAGGTTTGATCGCGTCTTCCGCTGGATTTCCCTGCCTCTCCCAGATCTCAGTATCCGATAGCGTCACAATATCCCAACTATCCTTTGCGGAGAGAAGTGTGGAAGCCTTACTCGAAGACAAGGGGCCTTCTTCCGTTGTACATGACACAATCCGTGTAAAGAAGACCGCCGAGGCTACACGTGATCTGCCGACAGCTTCGTTGAAGGCCTTAAGCGCGGAAGATGGCAAGGGCTCAGCCTCGAGTGCTGTACAAGGCTGCAGCACCAATTGCCTTTGGCTCGCCTCCGAAGAGAACAGGTTTATCAAAACGTGCTCTGAAAAAACAAGAATCTCGGAAGGAGATGAAGGAAGTAAAAGCAATTGCGGCCGCTGTCCGAGAGGGGAAGAAAATGTGTGCAATCAAATTATCACAAATGGATCTCCTCACCGGTCCATATACCAGCCGAAAGGTGAAACCTCTTGTCGACAAGTTAAACCTTCCGCCTGTTGAAGTCAAGGGTGTGTTAGAAGTGCGCAAATTCAACATCGGACAACCAGTACCTGTCATCAAAGCGATCCCCCAGGCGGACAAGATACTCCAAGCAATTAAGGCAATAGAGAGAGAAGGTAATACGGACCTGTTGGCACGGTGGAATGATTATGGGTGTGCTACCTACGATCAACTGAGGCTCATAAGGGAAGTCATCTCAGCCAGAAACAACTTCAAACTCGTGCAAGCGACTGTCGAATGGATATATCGAGTGGATTTCGAGTGGATAGTGTCGTGGAGCCGTTCAAGGACACGGTGGATACAACAACGGTGATTACCGAAATCACACAGAAACGCTACAGAACTTACACAATACTAACGTGGTTGTATGCTGAACAGGGTGACCACAAGGACGCTGTTAAAGACATGAACCTAGGCAAATGGCACATCGGAAGGGACGTCCAATATGGCAGCGAGTTCCTCGATTTTCGTGAGAATTTGTGGTTGCACTCCAGTTCCATTACCGGCGCTCTTTTTGCTCTAAGGGAAACGTACGAAGAAGTTGGCATTGTCAATCCGAGGTTTTTGGACTTTGATACGATGGAGCAACGGTGTCCGACGGCCCGATCATTTGGAGCAGCGGACCCTGGTATCAAGAGCGTCGTCAGTATCGTCAATCTCGGCTACCACTGGGGTGCATTCTCTATTGACGTACACCAAAAGCGAAGCTTTCTATTCGATCCGTTGCAGTTGCAGAGCAACCTGACTTCACTGAAAAACGCGGTACGCACAGTTGTGGAGACGATGCTGAACATGACAGACCGGATCCAATTTGACGTTATCTCCGGGTGTAAGCAGATGGACAACTCTTCCTATGGGTTATGGTGCTTGGTAGTGCTTGAGCTACTATTGTTTGGAGCAACACTGGAGAATTGGAGTGATTATTGGAGTGATTTTATTTACGAAGAAGTGATGTACTTGCGAATGAGCTACTTGCACAAAGTGATTCGGCTTCAGGGCCACTTGAGTGTAGATATCGACGAAGTTAGTGAGTGAACAGACACACAGCTTGTTCTGTAACATTTCGGTGTTGAAGAATAAATACCAAAATTTCACAAAAGCTTTCGACTTAGAGATTTTCTTGTTAATTGAGCCTTGAAGTGTACACCCACCTCAACTCTAAATATATGAAAATGTCAGCACCATACTTAATCTTACACTATTTGTGAGCGTTTATAATATGTGCGCTATATATATAATGATTTGATTCGTTAAGCCAGTGCATCTTATAGAATGCATCTTGTATAGTACATTAAATGCCGTAAACTACGGCGTTGTCGTAATATATTCCAGCGACCAGTCTTTACCATCATACACAAACGAGACCGCACCCATCATCATCAACGATTTGCGAAAACTTTCTTCATTTCATCTTCGGTTGCTCTAGCACGATCCCTTAAACGTTTCCCATCTTGACAAAATATGGGGCGAAAGAGCTGGATATTTGATCCAGCTCTTGCCACTGTTGCCATTTAGAGGTCCGTAAAAAAGAAATAGTCTAGCAGGTTTTCCAACCGAGAACTTGGCATGCTCGCTGCTGGCGATCTAGAAATGATCGCAAGCTCGAACTTCGCAATTTCATATACAGTAGTGATGTCGCGTTGTGTACCAAATTTCATAGCCATACGACATTTCCTTAAGTGAGACCACCGTATAGATCCTGTGGGTTGTTACAGGTATTTCGAGTTGAATGGACAGGTTACTGTAGTAGTCCATCTTTGGTTTATTTTCTTTTATCCACTCGTTACAAAAGTAAGCTAAATACATGTATTTACATGGTTTCACAAAGATTACCTTACGCTTTAGATCGAGAAACTGGACTAGAACGTAAAAAAAATATAATTGCAGGCGAATTACACCGTGTTCTTTTCAGTTTCGATTCGTCTTGCATCATTAAAAGTCAAGACGAATTACCAGCACTCAGAAATGTTATGTCCAGGCTTCAAGAGATCATCTAAAATGGCCACGCTTTTTCGAGCATGTCCTCAAAGTTGTCATCGTTGAACGGCACCACTGATTTTCCAAAGTTCGCCGAATTCAGAGCCTTTCGCGCTTCTTCCGTAAGTTGTTTCCACATGATGAGGTCCTGATAGTCACCATCTCTAGTTGAAAGATCCAAACTCGCCGGGCCGAAAAAAAAACCTGACGAATGGGAAATTCTGATAGATGTGCTCGAACCGTTGACGTAGGTTTTGTACCCACGTCTGCCATACTCCTGGAAACCAGCAAAGTAGACCTCGGAGAGTGGCGCCGTGGCCTTCGTATAGCGTTTTTTAGATTTCGACAGCGAGACTCCAAGAAGTTTTGGTGTCTCAAAGTCCGGGTCATCAATCCATACCACCATACTCGCCCAGTCGTGGCGTCTCGAGGGCATACCAGACCAAAATCCTTTCGGAAAGTACCATGCGAACATGATTGCCCATTTATCTTGGAACTGTGTGGATCGGCCGTAGACTTGTGAGCCCTGGGGTGCTTTAATACAGCCGTCGTTCCCATTCAACGGTCTTAGTCCCGAACTAATCGCTCCAGCCTCGTTCACAGCTGGGAACGATACGCACCCACCGTCAATGAGTAGCGTTGGTTTGAACTTGAGTGCTACTTTTTCCAACACCGTGACTGGTTCTGGTTGAGCGAACGGCTTCACGAAATCACAGTCAACTTTTTCACCAAGCACAGATTGGAGTGCTGCTAAATACAACACGACTGTCACAAAAAGGTTCATAGCCGTAAGCTCGGGAAAGGGCTGTGAAGCCGACGCAGCAGGATTGAAAATGAGTAGAAGAAGTTCAGCCTCATGACCGCAAAAATGGTTACGTGCTGCGCGTTATCAGTGCGACGATGATTACGTTCGGTACGAATCGCACTGATACCGATCAGAATTGAGAATTATCGGACAGAAGTGAAAAAAAAATCCTCAACCTTACCTCAGGTACCCAACTTGACCGACTTCGTCATACACTAGTGCTAAACGGCACAAAGAAGGCATATTACGTAAGTGCTCAGACAGTGATATGTTGTGAAGCGAGATCCGACGCAGCGGGATTGATAAATGGCCAGAAAAAACCTTATCTTTTAACATGTAAAGGAATCCCGTTTCGCGGCACGTCGCTGACTTGGAAACGTACTTTGCGCCATCAACACGAAGATATATCATTGATTACAGGCGGTACGAATCGTACAACTGTGAAACAAGCGAGGTCCAATTTGTTAATTCTGCGCTACAAGTGGATACCTACCAGACTTGCAAATTAGCTTCAAAGTACGAAAGATTCAATAGGGTCTAGAATAGTCATTAGCCATAGCAACTGTAATCCTTAAGGTGAGGCGATAAATCTGCGCAAGTAAAAATTCAAAGTATGAGCTAAATCTTGTTTAACTTTTTCGAGGTCACGTTTTGGAGAACCTGTTTCGATATTGGACCGATTCGGTTTGTTAAAAGTTGACAGCCTCATTACAATTAGCCCTGCCTAAAAATTAGCTAAAACTGAATCATCTACGCCGTCATCACGATGTACGACTCGTACTACGAGATCTGTACGCGAGATTCTAGACCGAAAAACAAATTGACATTGAACCAGTGTTTCTTATTTTTTATGACCACGAAGGACGGATGGCACCGTGGTTTGACGTTAGAACAAACGATACTACGTGTAAATTGCGTGTGTAAACGAATCGAATAGCTTCCTAGCAGTGTTCGAAGACAAGTCATGCTTTCTTGGTCTATTTACTGAAGAATTGCATGTGCTGATGCTGGGGGAAAGCGTGGAGATTGCTGCCAAAAGAAAGTCATGGCCAATGCGTAAGTATTATACAATGCACGCCGCACTTGTTGCTGCAGCAATAGCGTAGTGGTCGCTAAAGGTTATCAAATCTTTTGGTTCCAAAACTGCTGCTCCCTTTGCTCCTGCCATTGATCACAACAAGCGAGGATGACAAGATCAGCATTCTGCTGCTTTCACATGCATACAAGGACTTGAGTAGTTCTGCCCCAGTTTATTTGCAAATGTTGGACCAAGACCAAACACAGAAAACAAGAATAAAAAGTAGTGAGTTTTTCTGGTAACGAATTCCCTTTAAATTGTTATCCGAGGTCGAAGTAGCTTCCATTGCCCAAATGCAATGGTGAGACGTCTTTTGACTGTACGAATCCAGTCATGTGGCCCATAAAGCAACAAAGCAGCACATCTAGAAGAAGATCTGGATAGCGGGGCCCATGGTGGACTTGAGGTACAGCACCTTGATGTTCTGCCAGTTCTTCTTCAGAAGCGAGGCCAGGAAGTTGGCGGCCAGCTGCGTGTTCACCACGATCTGCTGCTTCTCCAGAGCCACGTGGCCAATAGCAACGTTGAGGCACATGACCTTCTTCATCTGGAACTTGATGGTGGCACGCACAGCCTCGGCCTTCTCGGTCAGCGAGTCGTTGGAGGTCACCAGGGTGGGGAACTTGCCGGCCTTGTTAAGACCCGGACCTAACAGACGCGGGATCTGCTTGATCAGCGTGTCGGAAGCCAGGAAGGCGTCGTACTTCTTGGCGAACTTCTTGATGACCTTCTTGTTCTTGTTGAACTTCTTCAGGTCGTCCACCGTCATGTACTCGAAGCCCTCCTTCTCGGCCATTTCACAGTGCACAGCGTTACCAAGCACGCAGATCTTCATGTTCGGGCGCGGGACAGTGGGCAGCTTGAACGTGCCGCTGAAACGCTTGTCCTTTTGCGGGTCGTAGTTCTTAAGCGCGATCTGCAGCTCGATGGTCTCGTTAAAGTTACGCTTCTTGCCCTTGATCTCCTCACCGTTGATGGTGACGGTCTCGCCGGCAGAGAAGGCCAGGATGTCGTCCACAGCCTGCGACAGCAGCTCAGAGTTCAGCTTGCTCATGCTTCCTTCGGGGGTTGAGTCGGTCGGGGCGCTTCTTCGACGATTCAAAGGGAGAATGACACGGAGCTGCTCGAGGAAGGGAAGACAGCGTTGGTTGGCTGAGCGGACAGCATGCGACTAAGTACGAAGACACCTGGGAAGTCAAAGATTGGCGTCGTGGTAGTCAATAGTAAGAAGCGAAACAGAAACCTGATGAAAATGATTGCCATTTTTCTATCGTTTTTGGTTGGCCGGGGCGTTATTTATGGAGCGTAATGAAACGGTGAGATGTGATTGGAGTAATAACAGTTCGTGATCGAGACTCAGCAGAACGGTTACCGCTGACGACTGTGAGAACTAATATATTTTCCGAAAGTAGAGAAATCGATGAGTACTAAGCAAACTCATTATGGCGAATCGATGAATGAAATAAATGCAATTATCTGTTTTGTCAAAAAGAAAAGTGGCTGTCGAATGGTTGGAGACTCTGACCGATCAATGGGCAGCATGGTAAGCAGCAATACTCCCCGCCTGTCCGTTGTTTAGCCCAGTCGTCTACCCGCCGTTGAAGTCATCTCGCTCACGGAAGTTGGAAACGTTTGCTCAAACCGTTGAGGAATAGATACCAGCGTTGAAGTAGTGAACTTTGTTCTCCACCCTCAATACCGCTTGTGTCCTGGTCAGTGCACGGTGCTGTTGGAGGCTCCGTGGTGACCTCTTCGGTCGGGTACTTCGTCGCGACATCTTCAGGCGGATACTTTGTCGAGGCCTCCTCCATCAGGTATTCCGTCGGAGTCTCTTCGGTTGGGTAATCGGTCGGGATCTCTTCGGTGGGGTACGGCGTCAAAACTTCCTCGGTCGGGTAGGGTGTCAAGACTTCTTCTGTCGGGTAGGGTGTCGATACCTCCTCGGTAAGGTAGGGCGCTTCAGTCGGGTACGCCGTTGATGCTTCCTCACTCGGGTACTCTGTCGAGATGTCATCGGTTGGATACGGTGTCGATACCTCCTCGGTAGAGTAGGGCGCTTCAGTTGGGTACGCCGTTGATGCTTCCTCACTCGGGTACTCTGTCGAGATGTCATCGGTTGGATACGGTGTCGATACCTCCTCGGTCGGGTACGGTGTCGATGTCGGGCATGGCGTCGTGATTTCGTCACTCGGATACTCCATCTGAATGTTCTCGGTCGGGTACGGCGACGAAGCTTCCTCACTCGGATACGGAGCTAAGACGGTTTGGGTTGGGTACGGCATCAAGACATCTTCCGTCGGACACGGCGTCAATATTTCCTCTGTCGGGTACTGCGTCGGAAGCTCTTCGGTCGGGTACGGCGTCAATATTTCCACTGTCGGGTACTGCGTCGGAAGCTCTTCGGTCGGGTACGGCGTCAATATTTCCACTGTCGGATATTGAGTCGGAAGTTCTTCGGTCGGGTACGGCGTTGGAATTTCCTCAGTTGGATACGG